TACCTTCGAGAGAATTGTGAAAAAAATCAATGGTTCAACGTCGTCCAGAAATTTTCACCTGTAATGTTTCTATCAAAGTTTAAAGGACACTAAATTCTTGCCGATAACCTCCCCCTTTAGACTTTTACCTTGTGGCTTGAGTGACAATTGTTTATGTCGTTAGTTCACTGCCCCAAACATATATATATATATATATATATATATATATATAATACATTTTTACACCTTACAATTTACCTGCATAAAATTGCATGACAGGAAATGTTGGGTGGAAACACCGTTTCTTGAGGTTATAAAAATTACAAACCTCTATCAGTTGTGAATTTTGTGATTTAGCGGGAACACCGACTAAGCTGTTTCTAGTATAGTGGCAGACTACCCGGGTTATCCGTGGAAAAATAAAATCCTATTGATAGGTCCACAAATTACAATACAAAATTATAAACAAAGCAAAGTAATGACCTTCGCGGAAAAGGAAGAAAACCATGCTAAATACCACAATAACATTTATCCAGTAGATAGATATATTTGCATGTTGAAAAATGAATGTCCTTTGTTGTGTCTATTTTTTTGAACAATGTAAATAATTAACAGTACCCCATCTCAAAAATATAGGTATATATATATATATATATATATATATATATATATATATATATCGGATTATAATAATAGACTTTCCTGTCGGTTTCGACGTATGAGGATCTGACAGCTTAATTGTTTGTTATGAAATTTTGTGCGATAATCTTAAGTGGCACCGAAGACCCGCTAATGATTTACAAAGGATCTCTGCTAGATTGGCTGACCTTTTAGATCATGCTCTCGCTTCTTGAAGACGATTCAGACAAGTAGATTGAAAACTGCTGAGTCCGCTAAAACACGTGGATTTCCATTCTACCCGCTCAAAGGCTAAGTGCTCAAGGCTGTTATGTAGTATATTGACAGTTGACAAGTTGCTCTTCAGCTTGTCTTTGTATCTTAGCCATGGGCGTCTTACATTCCTGTAGCCTTGATCTAACTGGCTATACATTGGGATCTTGGGTATCTTGTCATCAGACATTCTCAAGATATGACCAGTCCATTGTAACTGAGACTGTATGTCTCGATTCCTCCAATATTACCCCTGTTAAATAGGGCTACGTTAGGTTCACACACACAGACACACACACACACACACACACACACACACATATATATATATATATATATATATATATATATATATATATATGACTGTATCTGACAATATTTTTGAGATAGGGGTATTGTAATTATTAAATAATTACAATATATATATATATATATATATATATATATATATATATATGAAGAAAAATATATACGGAAAAAACAAACAAAAATCCTTATATACAATTATGCTGTTTTAATGTTAATATGTCAACGTCGGACGTTTCGGTCTAATAAACCATCTTCAGGACATATTCATAAATTATAACATTATCAATACAACATGACAAATATATATATATATTGGTTTGTATGTATATATGTATAAAAATTATATATGTGATATATGATATTAAATAAAAAATATTTAACTAGTTTTAAATTTAGATTTTGCTTCTTTTCTAAAGATAACGACGTTCTTTTACGTTACAATTTGCAAATGTATGATTAGCGTTTATTCAGACTAGTATAAATATGCAATCTGCTAATACTTTCACAATATTTATCGAATATCTGGCCTTGAAGTGCATTTCAACGGGAAACACTTGAGTCGGTCAATCACATAAATCAACTGAACTTTATTGAATTATTATATATACATGAAATACTATCCGTTCGCAATGAGATCACAATATTTACCATTATATTATATTCAGAAAATATTATATTTATATTATATTTAAACGTATTTTATATCAATTACTTTTACTATTTTTAATAAGTGTGCAAATATTAAATTTAGATATATATATATATGTGCGTGTATGTATGTTAGATTTTTTTATCTTTTGTGTGATTAAAAGTTCAGTTTATTGCATAAAAATGATTGTATAAATATGAAATTTTCAGTCCTTCTCACTACATGCATCGTTATAAAACTAGTTAAATAGAAAATGAAACCAACATAGAAAGAGACACATACATGTTCCCTTCGATATGTGGGTGGTATGTCAGCGCCCACGAAACCACGGGGTGAACTTTTCAAATTTTGCCCAGCCAACAACATCCCAAGTATCAGTGCAGTGAATGGACTTATATCACAGAGTGTGGGTGTGACATGTCACATGGGAATTATGCATTTAGACTCACATTTCCTCGATTAAGTGGGTGTTAGGTCTTCGAAGACAATGATCAATCGAAATTCAGGCGAAAGATCGTCACCTACTGAGTAGGATCAATGGTCAGCCAAATTCCTGCGGCCACACGAGGTCGTTAGGTTCATTGCTTAGAGGGGATGGGAAAGTAACAAGAACAGAATGTCAAAAAGAGTTCGCAGCGAAACGAGATTGGATCCCAACGTGGTTTTCTATTCCAGCAAATCTTCCACCGCGAATCTGACTTTGTAAATTCTGATGATTTGCGTAGAATATAAAGTCAAAATATTAAAAAAATATATTTTTAATTCATCATCGGCTCATTGTATTGCTCTAGTCATTATGCAAATCAAATAAACTACAATAACCCCAAAAAATTCTAGACCAATATTTGTCAAATATAAACTCGTCCACACAAAGTATTTAGTAACATATTTAATTAAATTTTCTGCCATTTTTAATGATTAGTTTTTGACATATCGGGAATTTACGAAAATGGAATGACTGAATTTATTATGTAAATTAATCTAATGTTAGCCTAAAACCTCTGAAATCTAATAAAAACTTTTTTTCTTTTTGTCTATAATATATGCTGAAACATTGGCGAAGGGAAGAATCTAATAACTGCTGAAAAAACTGAAGGTTATTGAGTGAGAAAATGTCTACTTTGCAGAGATCATTGAACAATAAATAAGACTGTTGAAAATATAAGTAACTTGAGACTTCGGAGAAAAGAAGAAGGCTTTCAGAGCTTGCTTCCTCGAAACGAACGTTAACTATACCGAGTTACAGCGAAAGAACCACTTTTGGCCAGCGCTCAGATCTTTGAAAAGGCTGGAATTGAGGGAATGGAGGACAAAAGATGTAAAACACTTTGTGAATTAGGATCTGTAAAAAAAAAATCTCCTAGGCAACCTCCTCTCACTAAAGCAAATATTTTAAAGCGTCAAAATTGGACCAAGAAATACATGAAAATTGACTTCTAAAATAATCTTCATGGACGAATCTCGAGTGACATTTGATGAACCTGATGGATGGGCCACAGGATGGATTTTATCCAATTAAGACGTGCCTTTGACGAAACGAAGGAAATAAGGAGGCGGTAGGTGTTATGATATGGGCCGAAATTGTCGACCATTTAAAGTCGATGAAGCCGTTAAACTACTGCGATTTTATTAACAAGAATTTCTTTGCATGATACAAGTCACAGTCCCGCAGTTTCAAAGTGAAGTGCGTATTTATGCACGACAATGCTCCCTCTTATGTATCTAAGCTTACCCATGAATTATTTGAGCATAAAAGATTTATAGGAGAGAAGATAATGGAATGTCCACCATCAAGTCCTTATCCGAATCCGATCGAAAATCTATGGTCAGTATTCTGAAGATGAAATTATATGAAGGTGGCAAACAATATAACGGCAAAGTAGACCCATGGAGAGCAATTAAAACTACCATGTCGAAATCTGAACTTGCTGAAGTAAAAAAATAACAAAATCAATGGGTAATACGTTACTGTCATTGAGGTGAAGTTTCACTATATTAAAATGTAAAGGATTCAAAGACTTATATGTGTTTTTTTATTTGTTCTATTATAGGTGTTGATTAATTTTTGATGATTTTGTTACCTTTTTATTGAAGTAAAATCTGATTATTTGGTTTTGCGTAATAACTTCAGACGGCAGCTTTTTAGAATACATCAAATAACTTAAATAAAACATACTGATACTTGCTAAAATTTAACTCTGGCTTTGTTTTGATATCTAAATTGATTGTTTAAAATTTGACAATTTGTTCTTAATCCAAGTTTAAATTATTGAACTTTATATGATTTGCTTAATAACTTCAGGCAGGGTGTATTTACATCTTTATTGACATATTCACGACATTTCGACTGTTGTACGCTCTGACCTTCTTCAGGTGATATACGTTGAAATTTCGAATCGAATCCTTTCTTTCGTCTACCGGGATAGATTGTTCTTGATCCATGTGCCATGCCTTATCTGGACATCTCGCTTTCAGTTATTTCTCATTAGTAAGTCAACTCTCCAAGTTTCTGTTCATCTCTGCTGTGGCCAGGTATTGAACTCAAAACTCTTTGGGTCAAGTCACTGAATTACTTCAACCAACACTTTTATGCATTGTCGTGGTTATGACAATAAAGATGAGGACAACAGTCCGAACAATGTAAAGAGTGTAAAAAAAGTGAAATCAAACTAAGAATGGAGTATTATTGTCATACCTGGTTTGGAGATGATCAGTTGTCACTTTCTACCGATCACAGAGTTCAAGGTCGTTTACATGCTCTTTCTCGAGCTGACAAAACACTGCAAGCCTATCGCTACTTCCATGGCAAATGTTCAGACGAACTCTATTCTTTAGTGTGACTAGTTGAAATATTTATAGCTAACACTCGCCACAGATTTAAATCATTCTCAGTACTCCCGTTGATTGACTGATTGGTTCGTTTTCTACGGCTTATCAACCTTTGGCAGGTTATTTAAAGCCAGAAAATATTTTTAGATTCTAAAAATTCTTTGTTTTTTTTAAATTTTAATGATTTAGTGATACAAACCTTACTAATTAACCCATATCTGAAGAGAAAGATGTGGATTCATACATTGCCCGAGGGTATTTGCCTGTAAGTGAATATAGCAAATCTAATGGGAATTGGAACTCCAATTAACAAATCAGAACAATTATCTATCACACCGCCAAGCTTACAGCACATGGTATTCCCAAGCGGTCACCCATCAACGTACTGACGAAGCTCGATGTTGCTTAACTTCAGTGATCGTACGGGAGCCGGTGTTAATTTCATTCAGGCAAAAAAAACTACTACTTCTTTGAACAGACTTCTGGGTGGATAATTCTTTGAACACTATGATCTTAACCTCTTCATGTATATGACAAATTGTTATTTATCCTATATATCTACATAATAAGATTTTCGTTTTTAGGTAAGGTTATTAAAGTCAGATGAAAATTACTGAACGTCTACTTGCTGCAATGTCGACTAACACCTTTGTATTTCATAAAGCAATGACCACAGACGTGTGAGTCTCGTTAAATATGTTTTTAATAATGTACCTTTAGAGTGTAGACAAACATGACACTCTACACCTGTTATTTCTAAAGTGGGTGGTGCCGCTTCACGGCTGTGGGTGGCAGGTGTACATCTCAATCATAAAATACACCCGATCATGTTGTACCTGAAGTGGATCTTACCTTCATTTTACAGCGTCTCCCATTAATATAGCAATTACAAGCAGCATGGCCCGGCGTTGCCCGTGCTTGTTTCAAAAATCGTACGACTCATACAGCAATCGTTATCACTTGACTTAAAATATTTTTGCCCTTCCTTGCCTTTAAAGGAGTGCCCTTTGCCGTGCTGATGTTGCTACACGCCTTACTTCTTGCCTATCTCACACTGCGAATTTTTTCTAAGCTCTATACTAAACATTAAATCTGTTACGAAAAAAGAACTAAGCAAAATGAACGCAAAACGATCAGCTTTAAGAACAAAGGACTCGTAACTGAAAAAATCGAATGAAAAAGAATGTTAACAACAAATACTTTTTCACACCCAACCCAGTTCTGCGGAATCAGAATCAACGTTGAGTTTAAGCAAGTGAATGAGCCAACTGGAGTAAAATGCCATGCAGATTTAAATTTTTCCCACTGACGAATGCAGCTATCGATATTTTTTTGGCATGCTAACATGCTAGTTAATATTCGTGTCAGTCAGCTGTTGGCTCTTACGTTGGCCAATAGAATCTTCCTGCTTATTCGTGGCAGACAGCTATAGGCTTTCACTCTGGCCAGCAGAAAATGGCCGCAAACTACATGAAAACTGCCGTAGAAGCAAGAAAAAATAGATTATTTCCACTATCGATGGGAGTTGGGAAATGCAATGTCGGTCTTGGCCTTGCCGCTAACTTGGAGCATGTGCATGTAAATTTTGGTGCAAATCCATGGAAAATTGCGGCCGTGCATTCGTTACACACACACACACACACACACACACACACATACTGCCTTTTATAGATAGAGATTATGGGAAATACCAAAATATCTAATACTAACACCAATACTAGTATTAGGGTTGTGTTTTTGATACGTGTTCCAATAAAATAAACACATCACATTTTCCCTCTCGCTTATGGCATCTATTACAATAAAATAAAAGTTTCTCTACACTAAAGCTGAATAAGGCAAATAAAGCAAATAAGGCAAATAAAGCAAATAAGGCAAATAAAGCTTCATATGATTCCACTTAAAACTATTACTATATTACAGTACGCAAAGATTAAATAATGTGGATTTATTTGTGCTTATTTTCCACCAATATTTTTGTTATGGTGACCTATCTACATTAGAATGAACTCTTCCTCCTTAATAAATACTAACCTGTGAGACTTCCTAAGTGGCAGTCGACCCGCAGTCTCTGACTTGTGTGCGACTTCAGTCGAACTCTCTGCTTTGGCAGAGAGGAACCCGGATGACGCTTTGCCGAAGGGCACAGTTTCGTCCGGGGAGGTAGACAGATCCCGAACCCGCTTATGCGGGTTCTAATTGAATATTTTTGGCCGAGCCTATGAGCTCGGAGAAACCCACGTTAAACTCGGCCTTGTGCCACATACATTTCTTGTGGGGGGGGGACTGTTAAATATCGGTAGTCGGTACGCAGTGTAACCTGACAGTTCGACGGACACTTCTATGTGCTGACTAATAACCCTCTTATTTTGTATATATTTTCTGTTATTTCAAAACATTTGTTCAACCTACCTTCTTCTTTTCCGTGTCATTCTTTCTGGCCCTAACAGGCTACAACAAGTTGGCGACGAGGATTCGCGAGAACTACCGGGATTAAAAAGGAACTCTCCGAGAACACGGATAAACGAGTTTTCGTAAAAGAACTACGTGTCATTGCCAATTTGTTTTAACAGTGAATGCACGAGAATTTTTTTTTTTCGTCACAGTTTTTTTCATTTGAAAAAGTATCTGGAAAAAAAAACCAAAAAAACAGAAAAGTGAAACCAGAAAAGACACACTTATCAAGGAGGATTTCAAAAGTATTCTAATAGATCTTGTAAAGTAACAGAATGCACAACAAGAAAAGTGACAAAAATAACAGCTCTCTCAACAAGAAAAAATGGAAAATTTCTGCAAGCTCAAGGAAAAACAAGAGACAGCTCGAATTTCAAAAGCAAGTTTTAGAACTAACAATCCGTAGTAATCCCATCGAAAACGATTTTTGTTTTCGCAAAGTACCATTTGGAGCGATAGAGAATTTTTCATATACGGAAGACATAACCTTTGCGTCATACTTTAGGAGATATTAGGACATATATACTACAGATTGTGCAAATTGGAGTGACTCGAAAAGCACGTCTTCTGATGAAACTTAGCACAAGTGAGCACACGAAATTCGTAAACTACATTCTGCCCCGGAAGTCTAGCGAGTTGACCATTCACCGAAGCAGTGAATTACTTATGGAGCTTTTCAGTCCAAAGACATCTCTTTTTCATAAGAAATGGAAATGTCTTAATCTAACTAGGAAAAAAATGGGAAGATTACACCACTTTTGTATCAGTAGTAAACAAGCACTGCAATGATTTTAGACTGGCGGAGCTAAGTGCGAATAACTTCAAATGTTTGATATTCGTGCAAGGACTAGTTTCAACAAAAGATGCAGAAATTAGCCGAAGAATACTAAACAAATTGGAGAATGAGTCGAATATAACTCTACAGCAGATCGCTGAAGAATGTCAGAGGTACGTCAGTGTAAAGCAGGATTCTAAAAATATCGAAGAATCAGGCATTGCTCAAGTAAAAAAAAGTACGCTGCAAACAGAAACAAAGTCTTCTAAAACTAATGAAACAAAGAAAAAGCAAAATAATTCGTCCCCTCACTCACGTTATGGATGTGGGACCCTACACTTGTACAAAGATTGTATTTTCCAGAACAAAAAATGTTACATATGTAACCGAGTCGGGCACAAAAGCTCGCATTGCGGATCTAAAATTAAAACCAATAGCTGCATAAAAAATACAAGGTCAGACGAACTAGACAGTGCTAATAGCAGGAAATTCGTGCACGGACAAACATTAAACAAAAATGTGGAATTTCAACTAGACTCGGGTTCTGATTTGTCAATAATAAGCTTGCAAACATGGAAAAGATTGGTTAAGCCAACCATGATAAAATCTAGCAAGATTGCAAGATCAGTAACAGGGGAAAAAATTGAATTCGAGCGAGAATTGATTGCTAATGCAACGTTCAACGGGAAAACTCTTAAATTAAAATTGATTGTCCTGAAAAATACTAACAACCTATTTGGCACTGATTGGATGACACAATTCCAGCTTTGGGAGTTACCTGTAAATTCATATTGCGAAAAAAATGAAAATTGGAATGCCGAAGCTTTAAAACTGAAAAACGAACTGAAGGAAGCCTATCCAGGAATTTTTTCTAGTGGGTTAGGCAGGTGTAAAGTTTTAATGAAATTCCAAATGTTCTGGTCTGCCGTGAAAAGAGAATGCTAGTAGTCGTGGAAGGATGGAAACCGTGTTGCTGGGCATCTGGAGCGTCGGGGCACATGGCTAAAGCATGCCCCGGGAAACGTACACAATCTCCACCTCGGCCAACAACAGCAAAGACATCAGCAACAACAGCAGCAGTAGTTGAGGAGTTTCGTAGCTATTTGACTGACTTTCCTCGGCTTTCACCAACTGAAGCGGCTAGCTGCGAGGGAGAGATCATGGAGGGCGAAGTCTACGAAGCATTGAAGAAGGTCGGCAGAGGCAAGTCGCCCGGTCTGGATGGTTTGCCTATGAATTGTACTTGAGGCTGTTGCACATCTTTGTCCCGATTTTGACAATGGTGTTCAACAACTGGTCCCGGCAGGGGTCCATCCCCAAGCGGACTCACCAGGGGTGTGATCACGCTGTTGAAAAAGGGCAAAGGTGTTGGAGAGAAATTAGATGATTACAGGACCATAACTCTGCTAAACACAGAGTAAAAAATTTTGCCCAAATTTGTCCATTTTTTTCTTTTGTTGACTTGTTATCGGGTTGACTCATTCTTAGAGTCAGCCATTTTGATTTTTTAATTAACTTTACTTATTGTTTCGTATTTTCTTTGTATCGTTTTTTCTTTGTATAACGTTTTCCCTTGAATAGCGTTTCATTTTATTATTTAATCTTTTTGTACGTCCTTCTGTTTTTGTTTTTTTTTAATGTTTAAATTTGTTATTTCGCGTTCGTTTTTTGTTCCTGTTCTCGTCTGTCGTCTCTTTTATTTTGTGTGTTCGTTTAAATTTGTCTCGCCTTTAGGCGAACCTTGTTCAATTGTTTCCGTCTCTCGTGCGTCTTTTCGTTTTGTGTTATTTTTTCTTTTTTTAAATTTGTTGTTTCGCCTTTAGACGAAACTTGTTAATTTGTTCTCATCGTTCTTTTATTTTTTGCGTTCAGGCAAACTTTTTTATTTTCGTCTTTTAACTTGCTGTCTCGCTTTCAGGCGAACCTTGTATTTGCATATTAATTGTCTAAATTTTGTCTAATTATTTTCTGAATTTATTTTAAATTTTAAGTTTCGCCTATAAGCGAAACTTATTAACTATTCTTTTTATTTTTGCACCCCTCCCCTTCCCTATTAAAAAAATGGAAAAGAAGGGAAAAAGATTACCTTCCTTTTTAATACTGAAAAAGAAATAAAAAATGCCGACTTTAGAAAGCCGGTCAGGAAACATTTATTTAATCCAAAAAAAGATCTTCATCCTCTAGTGAGGAGTCCGTTGTTACTGAACCA